AATTAACATCATCAAAATATCCATACTACCTAAAGCAATTCACACATTCAATGCAATACCTATTAAAGTAGCAATGGCATATTTCACAGACACAGAACAAACACTTCAAAAATTATATGGAACCATAAATGACCCTGAACAGCTGCTGCAATTTTGAGAAAAGAAAGCAAAGTAGGAGAGATCACAATATCTGATAGCAAACTGTATTACAAGGCCACTGTAATCAAAACAACCTGGTACTGGCATAAAAACATGCACATGGACCAGTGGAACAGAACAGAGAGCCCAGAAATAAACCGAAGTCTCTAGAGTCAATTAATATTTGACAATGGAGGCAGCAACATAAAATGGAGTAACAATAGCCTCTTCAACAAATGGTGTTGGGAGAACTCGACAGCTGCATGCAAGAAAAATGAAACTCGAGCACCAACTTATACCATGCACAAAAGAAATTCAAGGTGGATAAAAGATTTAAATATAAGCCATGACACCATTAATGTCCTAGAGGAGAACATAGGTAGGAAAATCTCAGATATTTCATGCACAAACTTTATACTGATATGTCCCCTAGAGTAAGGTACACAAAGAAAGGAATAAAGAAATGCAATCTCATGAAAATGAAAAGTTTGTGCCTGGCTAAAGAAAACAATTTTAAAATAAAAAGAGAACCAACTGTATGGGAAAACATATTTGCCAATGATACCTCAGACAAGGGTTTAATCTCCACCATATATAAAGAACTTACAGGACTCAACTCTAAGAAGACAAGCAACCCAATTAAAAAATGGATAAAAGACTTGAACAGACACTTCCTCTAGGAGGGAATACTGTGGATCCAGAGACACATGAAAAGATGTGTATTATCACTAGGTATCAGAGAGATGCAAATTAAAACCACAATGAGATATTACTTCACACCAGTCAGAATGGCCATCATAAACAAAGCAACAAACAAATGTTGGAGAGGTTGTCGACAAAAAGGATCACTAGTGCACTGTTGGTGGGATTGCAGACTGGTACAACCACTATGGAAAACACTATGGAATATTTCTCAGAAATCTAAAAATGAATCTGCCTTTTGACCCAGCAATTCCACTTTAGGGATTATATACTAAAAACCCTGAAACACCAATCCAAAAGAACCTATGCACTCCAATGTTCACAGCAGCACAATTTACAATAGCCAAGTGCTGGCAGAAACATAGGTGCCAATCTGTAAATGAATAGATCAAAAACTATGGCATATTTACACAATAGACCTCTACACAGAAGAAAAAAAGGAGCTCCTACCTTTTGTGACAGCATGGATGGAATTGGAAAGCATTGTGGTAAATTAAATAAGGCAGGCAGTAAAAAACAAATACCATATGATCTCACCTTTATCGGGAGTCTAATCAACAAAACAAACCAACAAACAAAATATAACCAAAGACACTGAAATAGAGAACAGGCTGACAGTGACTAGAGGGGAGAGGGGAGAGAATTTCAGGGGAAAAGGTGAATCGTTTACAGGTACAAGTATAAAGGACACATGTACTAAAACTAGGGGTGTTGGAAATGAAAGGCAGGTGGGGAGGACTGGAGAGTGGGCTGGGATGGGAGTAAAAGACAGACAACTGTATTTGAACAACAATTAAAATGTAAAAATTGTGGAAAAAACCCTAGCTTCCTGAGATATTGTAGGGGACAAAAAAAACATAGCATGTGACCTTGAGAACTTCAGTCAGTGATGACATCATCTACATCCATGACTTCAAACATCCTATTGTCACTTCTGATACCAAACATCCCATAGTCACTTCTGACATACAAGGCCTCATGTGTATGACACACAAACCAGCTACATACAAGCATCTCCTTTCTGAATTACTATTTATAGTAATCTCATCTTTTTTACTCTGGTCTCTTAAAGTAGAAACCTAGGAGTTACTCTTGATTCCTTATTTGGATTTATCCAAAGTATCCAGAAAATTCAAATCTTTTTATTTCTATCTATAAAATTCTTTATTCCCTTTTTCCCCCTCACTGGTTTGAACCTACCATACTGGTTCATTCACTTGCCTCCTGCATTGTTGGGAACCGCCCTGCCTGGTTTCAGAAGCTGTAAACCCCCATGGCTAAGGATGAGTGAGCAACCTTCGGACCATAAGCCACTAAGGAGACAATGCTTATTTCCCTAGCAGGAGTGCCACTTCTGCTCCTTTTACTTCATCCATAACTGGCCCCCAGTGCTTGATCTGTTAGCCAATGACAGGTATGATTCCCCAAGCAGGGAATGACCTAAGACAGCCATGATAGTGGGGAGGCCCCAGGGAAGGACTTGGGGTGCTATAGCAAAAGGGGATGATGGATCCTCAGCCCTTGGCTTTGACATAGTTTGAGTCCTCATTCTGTCCGTGGAAAGTCTCCTAATCTCTTGGCTTCTTACTTCTCTTGCTTCTCTTACTTCTCTTGCTCCACCTAAGCCTGAAACAATGACAGAGGGCAGTGCAGCCCTGTGCTGGAAAAGGCGGGTTTCCTGGGTGATCAGGCCTAAGAAAAAAAACATAAAATCCTGCGAAACCCGCTTTGCTAAGAATGCTCTCAGTTAAATGATAAGCATCCAAGCAGGAAATGAGTTCGTTTTCCAAAGTTCTGTAGTCCTTTAGCCTACAGACCCTGACTTAGAATAGGCCTTCAGAGTTCTTTGTATGTTATCTATTGTTTGATCCTTACTGTCAGACAATGATTAATGAGCTTTACCTGTATTCCTGTGCAAATTGAACCCAATAAAAGCTTGTCAAAGCAGGGGTTGGTGCGGTCTCCACTTGAGAGAGTGGCCAGGACATTCCAAAGTGTTCTCCCCTTGAGAGAGTAGCCATGGTGTCCCTTTTCCTCCACAGGACTTGGTAGTCTGTGTGAATGTCTCTCCCCCAACCACAATGTCACATGGTCTGGGGTCTGCATCACTGCATTCATACATCTCCTCTTCATCTCTCCCACTATTGCTGCTTCTGTAAAATGTGTACCAGTTTGGCACTCTGCATGAGCTCCCATCAGCCTACAGACTGATGCAGGTTTTAGAGTAGCCATCAGAACCTGACCCTACTCATCTTTCCAGACCTCACCATTCCCCACACCCACCACTTGGCCTCCCATGTATGCACTGTTCCCATCACTCCAAAATACTTGCTGACATGGTATGATCTTTCAAATCTTTGAGCAGATTGTTCTCAATGCCTGGGAAACCCTTCTTCCATACCTCTGTGGAAGGCTTTCTAACCATTTCAGAATGAAGACACTTCATCTGTGAAGCCCTCCTAGATACCCCAGGCTGAGTTTCATGTAAGCATAACACTTACACATATTTTTATGATTTATTATTAATTACTATTTCCATCCTTGCCTCCCCATGAAGCTGTGAACACCCATAGGGCTACTCATTGGCTGATTCATCTTTATGTTTCCAGTGCATAAGGTAGAGATTAAATAACTGTTTGATGGATAAATAAACTACTAGGTATACTAAGATTTTAAGAAGAAATCTGTGAAATGATACAAATGAGAATGGTTCTTAAGCATAAGGAAAAATGTTATTCTGGTTTTATGGACCTAATGCCCCATATTTCTGTATTGTTTAAGGCAGGTCAGAATTTCTTCCATTGCAGCTCAATCTTTCCTATTTTAGGGAAGAATGTGAAAGGTCTTAGTGGAACACATTTAAAGAATCTTGATGTTCAGGCAGCACTTCTGACATTTGAAAAACATATGTTATACCATGATAATAGGAAGGGAAGAGAGAAAGTCACCAATGGTCTGGGAATCTGTAAAAATTTTAGAGATGCTATATTTGTGAACTTGGTGGGAAATGGAGATCAGTGGGGATGGGGAACTCATACTAGATTTTTCTTTAAATGGAACCCACAGGCTACCCAGTTTCAATGTGAACCCCATGGTTTCCAGATTGGAAGTGATATGAAAAGGGCAGATATGGATGTAAGGAAGTGAGAATGGACAGAACTTATGTGGGCCCATGCAGATACGGTGTTGGACCTCAGAAGGAAGCTGGAGAGTGAATTAGACCTGTGAGGAAAACCTGTGAAGAAAATTAGAGATTTATGAAATACACTAGTTTATACCTTGTACTCTATACAGTACTAGTCTGTTTGTATGGTTTTTTTAGAAAGGAAGTTCATTAAAGCACAAATTATTACAAACTTAGTGAATTAAAACAACACCCACTTAATAGCTCAAAATTCCATAGGTTAGAAGGCTGGGTGGGCGTGCCTGGGTTCTCTGCTTAAGGTCTCACACAATTGAAATCAAGGTGTCAGCCAGTGCTGCCTGAAGTCTTACCTGGAGGCACTGAGAGCAATCTTCTTCCAAGCTCATTCAAATTATTGGCAGAATGCAGTGCCTTGTGGTTGTAGGACTTGGTCCTATTTCCTTGTTATCAGCTAGCTGGGAGTCCTGTGCAGCTCCTGGAGACCTCCTACAGTTTTTATCAAGTGCCCCTTTCCTCTTCAGAGCTAAAAATGCAGAATCTCTCAAGTAGAATCCCTCTTGTGCTTCAAATCTTTGACTTCCTGCTCTGTCACCAGTTGGAGAAATTCTCTGCTTTTAAGAGGAGGCTCTCCTGTGTAATCCCATTATTTTAGTGTCAGCTAAGCCATTACCAAAAACTAATTCTAGGATGTGTACACCAAAGGACCATCCTAGAATTCTGCTAATGGGTCAGCTAAAGCTCTTTTTCTCATGATACAACTTAGTGGCAGTCACCATCATTGAAACTCAGTGCGGTCAAGAATGGCCATTGCTGTTTGTAGGCTGATTTTCCAGTGGCCCATCTTTATTGCATCAGTGCAGTTTCCATCAAGCTTAGTGCTTGTATTTTTCTAATTGTTCTATTTTATTACTGATGCACATATAGGAAAGTAAAAAGACTTCATCCCTCCCCTGTATATATTTCTCATATACCTATTTCTATCACCATTTTTTCCTCATTTAGTCCAATAAGCTAGCCACTTGCAGCCCCTGTTATAAATGAACATACCAATGCCCAGCTACATGACCTGGTGAGAAGGATGCATCACAGGACAGCCATCTACAAGAGGAGGTTGGCAAAAGGAGACCTGTCCTCCCCTAAATTCAACTCCCAAACTGGTAAGCACTGTTCCTCAAAGTGCTGGGGGGAAGTTATGAGGTGACATGCATTTTACAAATGTCTTAGTCTGGGTTCCTCCAAAAGCAGGCCCTAAGACAATGATTTAAGTTCAAATAGTTGATATACAGGTGATCCAAGAAGGTGAGAGCAGGCAAGAGACACAGAGACAGGAACAGAGATAATAAGTATGAATTAATTATAGAGTTATTCTGTAGGCCAACAGATCTGGGCCAACTAGAAATCTGTGGATCAAATATAAGACTCACCTTGAGGGAGGGTGGAACTGGGGAATCACTCCACTGACTCCTGATCTTCACTGGTTAAGGGCTGCTTCTGGGCACGTGGCTGATGGCCAGCACTACAGGTGGCCAACTAGGAGGAAACCCCTCATGCAGGGCAATGAGGGTCCTCTGCAGGAGACCTCACCCCCATATATGCACAGGCCAGCAACAGCATTGTTGTATCAGGTTTTTTTGTAAATGTTAGTTAGAATACCATCTTATATAAAGACTTATTATAAAAATACAAGAACACTATCTGAGTACACCACATAACAAAGGACATCAACAAACTGACCCAGTGGGATAGAGGCCATTGTCAGCCTCCCTAATAATTACAGAAATGTATTTGTGAAAACTAATAGGAACAATAAAAGAGAGAACAAAAGTGACATACACTACAGCTACACTTTTACAACATGTTTACATATGGGCAAACAAGTACAGAAGAAAGTGGTTGTGTAATAACTGTTGAATAAAAGTCAAATTGTTCATTACATAAGATGGAGTTTAGGGTTTCCTCATAATTATGTATAAGGAAAGTTTGATTTTTAAAATAATCTGTGTATCATATAATAGTTTCTTCTTTGTTTTTATCCTCACTTGAGGACATGTACATTGATTCTAGAAAGGGGAGGGGAGGCAAAGTGAAAGTCAGGGAAACATTGATGTGAAAGAGAAACATTGACTGGCTGCCTCTTATACATGCTCTGACTGGGGACCAAACCTGCAACCTAGGCTTGCACTCTGTCTGGAAATCAAACCTGAGACCTTTTGGTTTACGGGACGATGCTCCATCCAACTGAGCCACACTGCCCAGGGCAATAGTTTCTTCTTAAACTATTAGAGGCCAAAGTAAAGCAGTCATTATAGTTTGATAAATATGCTTAAAAGAATATTTTGAGCTTTAGTTATCCATAACTTGAAGGATTATGTGTGAGACTAAAGAAGTTTAAACTAAAACCTGAGGAATGGTATACATTTATAATGTTTCTTTTTCATTTAAATCTAAAGCACTGACTATGCTCCAAAATATATGAGAATCAAACTTGCATATAAAATATACTATTTATAATACCTCCAGGATAATTTTTAGTGAGCTTTAAACCTGCTGTTTATTTCTAAATCCCAGTGTAGCTGGATATTTTAATGAATGTCTCTTTTAAGTGTCATAAAATGTCTCATGTACCTGTATTGAGAGGAGAAAATTCTGCAATGTTTTTTTATTGTTGTTCAACTATAGTTGTCCCAAATTTTCCCCTGTTGCTCTTCCCCTGTCGCACCCCCGCACACAGTCAATCCCACCCTGTTGTCCATGTCCATGGGTCTTTTATGCATGTTCCTTGACTAGATCCTTCCCTTACTTTTCCTCCTTATTCCCCCCTCCTCCCCACTGGTCACTGTTACTTTGTTCCTTATAGCTATGTCTCTGGTTTTCTTTTGCTCATTTGTTTATTTTGTTCATTAGGTTCTACTTATAGGTGAGATCATAACATATTTGTCTTTTGCCATCTGTCTTATTTTGCTTAGCATAATACTCTTCAGTTAAATGTTCCAACTTCAAGAAACCCAAGCTTTTGCTCATTTAGCTAACTTGACCTCTTAAAAACATTTTCACCTTTTTTTCTTGCAAAGCAAAACCTACAGCTGTATTGTCAATAAAAGAAAGCGCTGCTCAGCTTAAAGAAGAACATTATTGTGGCATGTTGTGTGGTAAACCCCAGGTGCCTCTGACAGAGTACCCAAGGCAAATCAGACTTCCAAGAAGCATAGATTCACACACAGGTACCATCAAAGGTGGACCATCCCTGTGGGCTCTGACCAAGGACCCTGAAATCCAGAGGTGCAGACAGCTTCTGTTTCCCTAGTTAACCTATTTCTGTTTTTGAAAGGCAGTGCAAGGTTTGTCCTACCCTATGACCTTTGAAAAGAAAGTCACAGATTTCTCAACGATATGTACACTGACACCCTTCCCCCAAAAGTCATTCTGAAGTGTCTGTGTGCTTCAGTGGCTTCACGTTGTTAGTTACTATGATTGAACCAGTGCCTCCACAGGACACTGTGTGCAGTGGAAAGTGATGTCTGAGAGGATGTGGTATCATTTGTGGCTGACTCTCTCTCCCCACCTTTGGTGTGAGGTGGCCACTTGGCACCTGCCCTGAGGGATGCCCCTTCCTGACTCATAGAGCACTGCACCTGTGGACAACAAATCAGCAGCCACTTCTCCATGACACTGGAGGACACTCTCCAATATTGGAAGAGTGATAAGATCACTGAATGCCTCCCATAAAGCCAGGACCCACTCGAGAAGCAGAATTGTGCTGCCTGCTTAATAGAGCCTCTTACAGCACCTGGCTTGCCTCCCAAGGACAATGCCTCAGCTTCTCCAACTGAGCTGCAGAATGATTTCAATGCTTGTCACATGCCTCTAGATCAACTCTATCTCCTGTGGCTCTTGCTTGTCATCACTGCCTACAACTGGAACTGCTGACTGATCCCAGTGTGCCTGGTCTTTCTATATCAAACACTGAACAACATGTGGTACTGGCTTATGGTGGATATTGTATGTGATGTCATCTACCTTTGAGATGGTATGCTGTTAATCCAGCCCAGACTCCAGTTTGTAAAAGGAGGAGACGTAATAGTAAGTAGGGTTATGGAGAGGCAGAAACAGACACATGGGTATCAGATTGGACTACAAAAAAGTAAATTCACAACATTATTTTGTTTGAAGCTGACTTGCCATCTCCACATGTCTGGATCTTTAACCACTGGAAACCACCAGTATAGTAGTAATGATGACAACAACCACCACAATAACAAAAACATTGAGCAACTCCTTGTGCCTTAGTTTCTTTGTCTTAAAAATGAGAGTAACAATAGTGCCTTCATAATGTTTATGGGGAAACTAATGCATGTGAAGTGCCTGAACTGTGTCAGGACTATATGTGACATATCAGCTCTCATTACCATTCAGTTAGTTTATGTTCTATGCCTCATGTACTTTCAGTCACTCTCTGAGGAAGGTATTATTATTAGCCCACTTTTAGATGAGAACTCTGAGGTTGGCAGAGAGCAGGTGATTTGCTCAAGACTCAAAACTGAAAAGTAGTCAAGGCAGGACTCAGACCCATGCTCATTATAGCTATGCCCTGTTAGTTCAGGTGGGCAAGTTTTTCAGAATTTGATAGTACTTGAAGAACAAACTGACAGTGACTTGAGGGGAGGGAGGGGGGATAACCAGGGAAAGAATGGAAAGGGATAAACAAAGAAATGTGAATAGAGGACTCATGGGTATGGACAATGAGGGGGAAGATTGACTGTGGGGATGGGGAGGAAAGGGGTAGGGGAGAGCAGTCAGGAAAACAGTGGGACAACTGTAACTGAACAACAAAAAAAGAGAATTTGACAGTACTTGAGAGTACAAAGATACTGTCATCCTGAAATATCAGAACCATACACATAGTTTACCCAAATAATGTAAAAAATGTAAATTTTACATTACAGTGCAAAAAAAAGTAATTTGATATGTATTCCTCTAGTAATCAAGCCTCAAATAATGAGTTAGGCAGTCATTTTCTACCTCATTACAATCTGTCATTAACCTCAATACTTTGTAAAACAAAGCAGTATTATTTCTTCCCTTACAGTCTGTTCACCCTCCCTAGGAGATCTCTCAGTGGTTGTGAGCAAGCATGGGCTGTGAGTTTTGTAGGACACAGACTGTGTCATCATATGTCACTGCATGGTCAGCACCCAGCATGTGCCTGTACACAGTATAGTAATCAAATCTCAGTTTTAACCTGGACACTTTGGGAAAGCCCCACTTAGAAAGGAAAGAAGAGCTGTCATGAACCTTTCCATCAGTGCAGACTCTCCACATTGTCCAGTATACTGACCATTAGCCACATGTCTATTCAAATTTAAGTGTATTTAACTACAATTAAAAAACATTAAAAATTCAGGTTTCTTAGCCAAACTATCCATACTTTCAATGCCCAAAGACCATGTAGCTGGGTGTTACCATATCAGATAGCACAGAGTATGCCCACTATTGTGAAATAAACTATTGGGTAATGCTATTGGGACTGAGAGCAATCTCCACCGAGAGAGCCAGACCACAAGATAGTACACCCCACACCCCACAGATAGTACAAACTACAAGCACATAAAACACACCTCAGTTGTTTTGTTTTTTAATTAATATGATACCTACTGGTCTGTATTTTTTTCACTCTTCACTTTCCAAATTCATCACACCTATTTCTCATCAAAATTGCAGTGCCTACTCAGAAACTAGCATTCTTACTCTTAGTAGGAATTACCTTTTCCTAGATATATTCTCAGTGCTGAGGAAATTTCATAGCCAATCTAATCAAGGTAAGACAGAAACAGAAGAATATGTCTACAAGTACATACTCAAATCTTACAAACTCTGCCCTTCAGCCCTCCCCCAGCTTCCTTTCCACTTGATGTCCACTGTGACATCCCTGCCACAGTCCCACCAAGGCAGCCCAGAGCAGATGCTCCAGTGTCCCAGAAGGTAGAGCAGAGTGGCCAAGAATGACACCATGAGTTCATATATATTTTGGGGAGAAGAGAGGTCTGTTCCTTAATCTTCTCAATATTCTCTTTTGAGTCTCCAGGTGATCTTGAATTATCAAAAAGCTGAAAGGACTAGTTTTGGTGATTTTTAAAAGTGTTATTCCCTGTGGAATGCCTCCTTTATTTTAAATCTTTCCTAGAAAGAAATTTGAAAAGCCAGAAATGACCCTGTAGCAAAAATCTATTCACAACATTCCTCGTGCAGATATCAGAGTCTTAGCTAACTCACCAGCACCCTCCCAAGAGATCATTGGCAGTATGATGAATGATGATGATGGTGGACAAATAAGGAGTAAACAACACACACACAACAGCTAATTTCAACCTCCATTAGATGCACAAGGGGGGAGAAATTCGATATTTGACAAATAGAAAATGACAAAATCAATCAGTAAGGGAAGACTTCTATTTTCAGTTTTTTAAGAGGCCTTTACATACAATGGACTGTTAAAACCAAGAAAAATTATCAATAAAAACATGCTCAATAGTCTCCATTTAAAATGCATTATCACAAGCTACAAATATAGAAGAGGAATGAATTGCTTTTTTGTTCAAAAGAAGTTTAATGGTTTAATTTAGAGTACATTGTTTAGCCTTTGAAACTTGATTACATTTTGGAAAGAAGACTATGCAAGTTGACGAGGACTCAACCTGAAGTTGTCACTATGGTTAGCAGTTTATGCCACATTTGGTGGGCACGGCCAAATTATTCATGCACTCATTTATTTATTCATACAACAAATATTTATTAAATACTCACAGTTGCCAGGTTTTTCAAGGCTAAAGGATGGAAATATTAATTCCCTAAGGCCTTGAGAGAAGACATAAAAGCAACAGACAACAGACTGAGATGCTGAAGGCCACAGTAGAGGGACATGGGAAGGTTCACAAGTTTTCCATTTATTTGGTGCATCTGCTAAAAATGGTTCTACACAAATAGAGAATAGGATACTGATTAGGGACCAACATAAACATCTCATCTCTAATTTCCTTTATAGACAGCAGTGATAAAGAAGAAATGGCACTAGAGACAGTTAGCTAAGAGCCCTCACAGCCACAGTACTTTGCACAATACCCATAGACACACTCAATACATCCAGGGACAGTGTCCAATAGGCCTGCTATTATACAACACCATTCGCACTTAGTCCTCCCAGTGACTATTTATAAACTAGCCTGGAGAAAAGTAACCACTGCATACTCAATGCTCTGCGTACATTACTGAGACTTCCATTATTTAATCGTTAAATAGCAATTAGGCTAGTCATGATGTAGTAAAAACAAACATACCAGGATCAAATTGCATCTCTGAAATTTACTAACAGTATTACATGAAGAAAATAAATGTATCCTTTCACTGAACACCATCTTTTTCAACCATAAAATGGGAAAATAGAACCTGCCTCACAAATCTACTGTGCAGGTTAGAGAAGATAGTGTGTACATCTGTGCTAGGGTCTGGTATCTGAAAGATGCACATTCCATTGCCAAGTGATCAGATGGATGAATGTGCACACACTTGCTTTTCCTTCTTGTCTCCTGTTTGTACATGTAGCTCATTTCTTACCTAGTGATAGTTTCTTGAAAGTAGGGACAGTATATAGTTCTCTATCTTCAGAGGGTATACTCAAGAAATGTTGGAGAGAGTCAATAATGGCAACCTTAGTTCAAGGACTTTCTTTCCTTGAATAATCATTTAATCCACACTGAAGTTATTTCACATTATATTACTATTTTTGAAAAATTTCTGTCTGTTCAATGTGAAATTATGGAGTTTTTATGGATTATTTATCAGAAGAGGTAAATAATAAATAAATATGATAATACCTGGATATGATAATACCTAGGTACAGCTTCTTCAAAAACTATCTGTTGGAAAAGGATTTAGGTTCAATTAACATATCTTGCCCAAAGTAAGACTCCCTTGAAGAAATTTTGTCTGCATACTGATCAGGCTTAGGAAAGAGAGATTAAATAGGACAACATTTTTATTTAAAGTGCTAGTTGTTACTGGTAAGCTAATCCTCAAAAAACTAATGATGCCAAATTTATTTAGGGCTCCAAAAAAAGGGATTTATAATCACTAATGGCATTTCCATTCAATCTAGCAGGTTGTAGTTTCATTTACATTTATTCAGTCATAGGATCATAGACAACCCTGAAAGGCACAATGTGCTAGAGACATTCTTCCAGAAAACAAATGTCTGTTCCATTTAACTTTGAAAGTGATGACAGATTTTACTTAAGCTTGATACATGATTCAATGTAAACTTCTATGTATGTCTACCTGTGGATCTATAAGCCATTTTGCTTCATATTAAAAAATCATTAAATGAATATGTCTTATATATTTTTTGATATATTTCTGTAAAGTTTAGTATGTGTACATTGGTAGATGTTATAGCCAAAAAAAGGGGAGGGGCAGGAAATGGAGAGTTGGCTTTAACATCCAGTTGGCAGTATTTTAAAACCTCTAAACTTGAACAGCCTGGATGATTATTTTGAGAATATGTTACTTTCATGTGTACAAGTTACCATACTTTGTCAGCTAATTAATAGTACATAGACAAAACCTTTCTACCTATAACTAAAACATAAGAATATAAATTCAACAGTGGCATTAATTCTTTTAAGTCTGAATGTTAACAATGTTTTCCTATTCATCACTTATCACACATTTGTTAAGAGCATGTTCTATGTGCTAAACATTGTGTTAGGAACTAAAGAAACAGAGAACAAAGGCACAGTCCCTACCCTCTTAAGTAGCTCAGAGTGTGAAGGACAGACAGAGAAAAGAAAAATGGTGGATCTTGTAATGTGAATCATGAGAGAGGTGAGCCATGGAGGCTACAAGGGTCAGAGAAAAACATGTGAGGAGGCCATCTGGTCCAAATCTTGATGCATGAATTTAAGATATCTGCACACCTCCACCTCATAAAAAGGGGGCGTGCAATGTGTTCCAAGCTCTGGGGACAGCATGAGCAAAAGCATCAAGGTGAGAAACTTGGTATTTAAGGAACTGCTATCAGTGTGGGTATG